ATCTTCTTTTTTCTTAACAGAAAATTCTATTTGATCTTATGGGAGCGCCTCTAAAAATTCATTATTTGTTACGGCAGCAAATGCTTTTTACCATTTCATTGTTTTAATTATTCTAATTCGAGGAAATCTTTCATCTTAACTTCACATCTAGTAATCTTTTTCACCGAGTTTGGTTTTTTAGAAATCTTTGATGATGATGATGATGATGATGATTGATGATGATGATGATGATGTTTCAGCTTCTTTGATGATCGTCATAGCTACATTGCAGACCCTTCAGCTCAGCTGGAAGCATAGAGATTCTTAGAAAGCTCATTTCAACCAACGAAAAGTAACAATGGTAACCAGCGGAAAGGAAACTAATCAATCCATCACTTCGCCGGTGTAGGAGAAGCAAGACAGCCGCCCGCTGCTCCCCCTCCTCCTCCTCCTCCTCTTATCGCTATCCCTGCAGTTCGATCGGTCGTCCGCCTCATGGTCCAGCGTCACCTCGGCTTTCCACATCTCCAGCTTGCTCCTCAACTCCTCCCTCTCCCGCTCTTCCACGCCACTCGCCATTTCCACCGACCCGTTCCTCTCCGGCTGCCATCCGTCGCAGTCAATGGACGGCCACCTCGGGCCGTTGGATTTCCCCCGTTTTGCACCGATGAGATCCTTGTAGGCGAAGGCCGACTTGGAGTTGAGGTCGTAATACAGCGGCATGTTCTTCGCAAAGGAGTCGAGGATGGCGACGCCGAGGTTGATGATGCCGTGGGGGCGGAGGGAGGACGGGCGTCGCACTTGGAGGGCGACGCAGCGACGGGGGCCAGCGGCAGGGCCGAGGGCGCTGAGGACGACGCGGACGGTGCCGAGGAGGTGGTCCGGGAGGGGGCTGAAGCGACCGCGGGTGGCGTGGAGGTGGACGGTGACGGCGGCCATGTCGGAGCGGAGGAACGAGTCGTCGACGCGGAAGACGAGCTTGTCGTTCCAGGTGGGGTCTGCGTGGCCGGCGCGGTCCACCCGGGTGTACAGCTTGTGCTCCGGGTCCACCCACGCGGACGCGTACGTCTTCAAGCACCGGGCGGCGGGGTAGAGCTCCTGGGCGGAGATGATGGTGATCTCCAGGAGGTGGAAGGGCGTGTCCTCCGGTGGTGTCGAATGGCTGTGGCTGTCGCGGTGGCGGTGGGGAGCACCACCGTCCACCGGCTTCATGGTGGGGCTTCCGCTGGAGGAGGCAGCGGGTAGGCGACCGCCAGAATTGGAGTTATATTTGGCAACGAACGGCGAGGGAGATGGTAAATGGTTGGTAACACGTGGGCGGTGGTCAATGATGCTGACCAAACTCGATTCCTCCTTACTTATTTTCTTGTACCTCAATGCGCTGTAGATTGGCTGGGACCGTGTCGGAAATCTCGTCGCTGGTTGGTGGGTATGGCGTAATAGTGAAGGAAGGTGAGTTATTTTGTCAAGCTCAGATGCTCTATACAATTTGATTTGTTTCGGAGGCTTGGCTTCGATGAGGCAAATCGGATTTGGGTTTGGACAGAATCAGGACAAACTGCGGACTTCGCAGTGCAAATCCGATCCGAACTCCAATTTCTGTTATGGCAAGTCCACGTTGAACTCGACTCTTCTTGTTTTCACTAATAATTCTTTTTATCCATCAATTCCACTTTTTTTTTTTTAAATCTACTAGATGTAATAAAATAAAAAATAAATATCATATATTTTTTTTTATCAACTAAGCTGCTTGCTTAACTCATTCAAAGATCAAATAATTTATTCTATCAAAATAAATATATAATTATTAAAATAAAAAATAAAAATAAAAAAAGGGTGAGATGCGTGATTTGGGAAGAGCTCTAGTATTTTAGTATCATCAAAAGCCTCTCCAAGGTGGAAAACTAACCTTATCCCTTCTCTTCTCTTCGTTGGATTTCAGCCCCTCCACGTCATTTTAATTATCACATCTTCCATTTCCTTCTTCTGTTCATGACCATCGACTCTCTCTCTCTCTCCCCCTTACAGGACTCGAATCGCACTCCAAATGGCATCTGCGGCAGCCGTCTCCTGCTTCTCCACCACCATCCCCCCACACCTCGGCTCCAAGCTCGTCTCCTCCGACATCTTCCTTCGCCTCGCCTCTCCTCGTCCTCCACACCTGCGGCAGTACTCGTCTCTAACTCTTGTTAGAGAGAGTTTCTATGCGCTCGTCCCTTCAAATAACCGGAGGACCTTCGCCGCGGTGGCACAAGATGAGGCCACTGCGGCAGTCGCAGCCCAAGAAGAAGAAGAAGAAGAAGAAGAAGAAGACACGGTGGCCGCGGCTGCCCCTCAAAACACCAAGCTCTACTTCGGGAATCTGCCTTACAACTGTGACAGCGCGCAGCTGGCCGGGATCATCCAGGAGTTCGCCAACCCGGAGTTAGTGGAGGTCAGCCTTCATCTTTGCCACGATCATTAATTGCTTGTGTCTATCATGTTTTAACACTTGAATCATGATTCAGGTGCTCTATGACAGGGAGACCGGAAGAAGCAGAGGGTTCGCGTTTGTGACCATGAGCACCGTGGAAGACTGCGAGGAAGTGATCAAAAATCTTGATGGAAGCGTAAGGACATTGTTGATCTCCATCGATCAAACCCCGTGCTGTATAGATCACAAACAAACATGATGAGCATCATTTGTATATCCATGTGTCTGTGCGTTGCAGCAATATGGTGGGAGAACACTGAGGGTGAACTTCTCGGACAAACCCAAGGCTAAGGAGCCACTGTACCCGGAGAGCCAGCACAAGCTCTTCGTTGGCAATCTGTCATGGTCAGTGACGACGGAGAGCCTGACGCAAGTGTTCCAGGAACATGGAAACGTGGTGGGAGCTCGTGTTCTTTACGACGGAGACACCGGTCGATCCCGGGGTTATGGTTTCGTGTGCTACTCCACCAAGGAGGAGATGGATAACGCCATGGAAACTCTCAACGGAGTGGTACTCTTTCTCTTGTTTGTTTAAGCCTCTCCTCCAACACTCCCAAACCTTAAAAAGACTCTTTACGATGTCTCCATAAATTAACCTGCTTGATTGCAAATCAACAAGATACAGCTGACTTGTTAGTTCTACTTGTTCCAAAATGTGCAGGAGTTGGAAGGTCGAGAAATGCGGATTAGCTTAGCTCTAGGCAAGAAATCTTGAGGATGGCCACACATGTTTTGGTCAAGAAATTTATTTCAATAGACTTCAAGTTCTTCTAACATGTAAGGGCTGCAGAGAGATTCCTCTGCTCTTCTTTCAAGTTTGCATTTGTCATGTTCCAACACTGAGATTACACACTGCAAAAGCTAACAAAAAAAAAAAAAGGGTACAATTAGCTTGTACGGAGTGAGGATTGCATATGGTTTGAATTACTATGCTTCTATTTTATGCAAATGCATTATGTTTGTTTGGATGGAGTGAGGCTTGCATTTGGTTTGAATTAGTACGCTTTTATGCAAATATACTATTTTTGCTTGGAACAATTGTGGTCTGATGCATTCAAAATGATATATGGCCTCACTTTAAAGGAGAATTTTGTTGGATCCTATCCTATCCTATCTAATGGGGGAACTTTTCTCCCCTTAACTTAAAAAGAGTGAGGTGAGATTCATCCATTCATTTTCTAATGTGAGAATCATACATTCATCAAATTTGGAGTTTTGTTTGGAACACTATGCGGAAGAGGAGAGACAATTTAATATTTACGTGACAAATCTGAATCTTGTGAAACTAATTTTATTGAAAAACTAAGTAATACCCCTAATGCAATCTCACATCATTGATATACTATTATTTAATCTCGACTTAAATATTTTAGACTAATAATTCAAAAATATATTATAAGTTAATGAATCAGTTATATCATCAAATTGGACCGTGATAATTTAGATAAAAGAGCTTTTATATAGTTTGAAGGGACACAAAGTAGTAACGTCTAACGATATCTTTATTTCAACAATTCCAGTGGGAACCTCATCTCTCTTCTATTACCATCTTTTTCTTTCTTTCTTTCTCAATCTCTCCGATCTCCCTAAAAAAAAGATTATTCTATCAATTGAATATTAAAGCTTGATTCCATTACGGAATGTGGAAAGAAGATTGCTGTATTATCAATGATGATTGACATAAAGACATTCTCAATCAGATACTTGTCAAAGATTCAAGTAAAAACAATGGAGATAATAGTGATAATGGTAGACATTTATATATACATACACACGCATTGTTACTAAAGTTTTTGGGATGCTATGATTCAACAACAGTGATGGTGATACGAATTTATTTCTTTGGGAAGAATTTTTATGTTAGAATGCACTAATTTCATAATGAACATAACATATGTTATTATCCTTGTCAAAAGAACAAGGATAATAAATACTCTTGAGACAAGTCTTCTCTCTAAAACACCTTTCCCATTTCTTCCTTTGGATATTAAATCGAGATGAATTTATGTATAATGTGACACCATAATATATATGACGTGTCAAATGGATATCACATTAGTGTCATCGCATCAAAATGCTTATAAAAACATCCACATGCAAAGACTAATAGAATTTTTTGAGAAATTTTGAATATACATAATATATGTGACTTGTAGTAGCACTAATTTTAAGAAGATCTCAAACTAAATTAAAAAAAATAAAGCATATGTATAATTAATTAGTTTAAATTTAAATAGCATGGAATATATTTGAATTAATTAAATTCAATTAAAAGATTTTCCTTTTGAAACAATATAAAAAAGAATTTAGTTCTTGAAAAAGATGGAGGAATGATTACAGTTACCTATTATTTTCACAATCTTTTTGATATTTAATATAATTATAAAAAAATAGTATCTCGAAACAAATTAATTAGAATATCTTCTGAATTGACATAACATAAATTATATATTCTTTTTGACGAATTTGCAACAATTCTAAAGGAAAAAAAAAGGCGTGCGGAGTACAACTTATAAATGGATTGGGAGCGGCGCGTTTGCTTGGCTGGCGTCGCGAGACCAAAAGAGAGCTCCCAATGGCTTCTCTCCTCTTCTCCCCTTCTCGTCTTCCCACATCGCTCTTTTCCACTCTCGCCCTATTCATCTATTCCCCAAATCCCCACCGCCACCATTCCCAATCCCTTTCTTCCATTAAGACGCCCACGAAGGACCGCGCCCTCATCGTCTCATCCGCCCTCGCCGAGTCCAATTCTTCCAAATCCCTCGACGACGGCGGCCGCGGCGAAGACGGAAGCGACGACGATGATCTCCTCCCCCTCCTCCGAGAGCTCTCCGTGAGAGATCTCCTCCCCAACCTTTTCCTTTATTCAGGCTTTCGGTTCTTTAGATGATGTCGTCTTCTGGTGGTCGATGCCCTGCAGGATTGTCTGCTTCTCCCTCCGGATTATCTATCCAGTCTTCCTCGCGATCTCCGGCTTGATGTAAGTGAGGGCGATTTGTTCTTGAGGTCAGATAATGCAATGATCTGTGTGCTGGTTTTTCTTTTTTGTGAAGTTGAATGATGCGGCATTTGATCTCTCCAACGGGCCTGTCTTGGATGACGTAAGTGGTTCTCTCCAATGTGTTAGAGTTAGGTTTTCTCTATTCGTTTTATGGTTAAGGATGATGCCGCTGTATGTCGAGTGTTCGGAGAATTGTTTGAATCGACTCAGGGAAAAAGGCCATAAATGTTCTAAACCAAAATGACAGTGTGGTGAGGTGGTGGGCGACTTGCTTCTAAATCTTTCCAGAGCATGGGAACAAGCTGACACTTCGACTTCAAATAGCCTAGCGAGGCAGCTGCCGTCAATGGAGAGCTTTTTGACAAAAAATGTCAAAGCATGTATGGATAGTTAGTGTTTCTGAATTGTTTATTACCCCCTTTCTTTTTCACGGTTTGTTATGTTCTCCGTTTGCTGGGTGCAGCACTTGGCAAACGCTTGGTATCCGCTGGAAGGAGATTTCAGGCAATGGGACAGTATGCTGATGGAGAGCCACAAAAGGTTAAAGCTTAGATTGTGAATTTATTTTTTATGCTTCCAAGTATAGTCATCAGCAACCAAGTTATGTAAAATAGTCTTGTATGAATGGCCATGTTCCACATGTAGTGCCTAAGATTAATATTGGGGTTGGAACAGATAGAGGCATCACATTAGGGATTGGCAGAATTTGTCAAACTGATTGATGGAGTTAGAAATATTTTCAAAAATACTTTAGTTTCAAAGCATAAAATGGAGGAACACATAAAAACATAAAATACACCTTTGATAGAATAAAAATACTGTACACTAAAAATTTGTTTTTCTTTGTTCCAAAGAAAATCAAACTGAAATACAAAAGATAAAATATTACATGAAACTACTATGCAATTAATAGAATATAAAATATAACCATATTATATAAAGATGGAGTTTGGAGTTGAAGTCCATAGCTAGTGTGTTAAGAAGGATGAGACTGCCCATGGATTAGAGCTAGAATAAAGGAAGGTTGAGAAAGGAGGCATGAAGAGCAAAGATGGAATTTGCAGTTGAATTCCAAAAGAAATGAAAGTCCAAATGCAGGTTATTACTATTTATGGATTCCAAGATTGGAAGAAGAGTAAAAGACGAGTAACCCCTTAGCTTTCTTTGAAAAGAACTTAAAGATGAATCTGTCTTTCATTTCTATTCAAGAAATGTGGAAGAATGCCTACCAATTCAGTTGACGCTAAGGGTAAATGTAGTTAAAAGCGTTATGTGCCAAAAAGCGCTAAGGTCCCAAATTGTTTGAGGCGCTAGGCGCTTGCATGAGCAAAGTGAGGTACTTCTGAATATTATAATTTTAAAAATATATATCATGATTGATAAAAATAAACTAAAACGAAAATAACACATTAATGTTGCATTCATTTAAAGTACTAAACTATATTGTCCATATCTAAGAACAAAAATAGCAAAATAAAACAAGATTAATATCAAAGATCGTTAAAATTTGGTTCATCATCTTTTCTTCTGCCTCGTCAAGTGATTTATATTTCTTTTGTTCATCTTCATTATATTTCCTCCTCTTCCATAATTATAGGCAATGAGCTTGTGGCTTTTGCATTATCTTTGTTCCGTAAATTATCTTGTGTATGTTTTTATTTCTCCAATGCCTAAAGCTCTTGCTACATTTTCCCATGTTAAATTTTCATTATAGAAAATAAGATCATCTTCGGTATTTTTTAAATTTGTACCCATATCTCATATATTTCATCCAATCAAATTATAATGAGATTTTTATGTTTTATTATACTTAATGTACACAAGATCATGTAATTGTTGATGCACCAGTCGATTTCTTTTCTTTGTATGAATCTATCATATCATACAAATTAAAGATCCATTTATTTGTGTCAATCTCTAAAAAAGAATAAGTTATTGAAACTTAAAGTATTATTATATATTTACATTCTCGAAAACACCCTAGTTTCGCTCACAACCTATAGCGTTGCTATAAGTCAAACTTAGAATTTTTGTAGCAAATTGCTACAAGTTTGATGTTTTACTTCTAAATAAGCCCCACCAAATAGTTGTAAATGTAAATTCAACTATTAATAATAACATACTTTAAAAATTTACATAATGTCAATTATATGAAATTATAAATGCCTAGGGACTTAGTAACCCTCGATCGAATTGCCTAGGGAATTCTAAACAGACCCTTAACATTCTTATATAAAGATAACTCATTTGTGATTTTGTCTTGAACTTCAATGCTGAGAACCATTCTTGCAATATGCTGATATAACCTAGATATAACTTTTGTATCAAACTTTATATCAAACTCAATTGTAGGGTTTTCTTATAAAATAATTTTGGGTTTAAATCAAGGATTGAAATATCATATCGTATCGGAGTTTCGACATTCGCTTGGTACGGTACGGTACTATATACCGAGCGGTATACCGTTCGATATATATATACATATATATATATATATATATATATATATACATATATATATATTCTCTCTTCTCCCCCGGGGGGGCGATGTCACCTATATATATAAAAGTAAAAAAAATATTATATATTTATATATAAATATTTATCTATAAATATATATATTTACATATAAAAGATTTTTTATATATAAATATTTTTATAAAAGATGACGTCGCCCTGCGTGGGAGAAGGGAAAGGCGACGTCGCCTTTTATAATATATATATATATATATATATGGCGACGGGCAATCCGTGTATCGGTCTGTTGACGGACTGGTATGTACCGCCCGTATCGGATGGTATTATTCGAAATTGAAGACCTTGGGTTAAATAATGTCCTACTGCATGGAGTGGATGATGAAGTCGACATTCCCATCTTCTATCAATGATTGCAAAGATATCAGTGTATTTTTCTTAATTTTCGTCAAAAGATTGTTGAATTATTTCTCTGACTCTATCCATAGCCTCATAAATATATTTTATTGTTGGCTTTTACTCATTATCTGTGAGCCGAAGAACTCAAACAAGAGGGCTCATCATTTTTAATGCATAAGCTATAAGATTCTAAAATGATAGCATCGGGATGATAACACTTGCTCTCTTACATTTTGCTTCTTTTGCCTATTGTGTTTTTGCCAATGAATACTTTGCAATGCTAGAATGAAGTGACAAGCCATGTGACAGCATATCTCATCAATTCCGTGTTAATTGCGAATTCTTTATCATATTCAAAGCCCCGATATAATTATATATAAACCTATAACAAAGATTGCATTCTCTAATGCCTCATTGATATCTGAAATCTTTCTAATATTCTCTAACATAAAATAAATACAATGTGTCACACGTGGAGTCCAATACAAGTGTGACCTTTTTGCTTGTCATAATTTTCCTAAAAAAATAAAAATAAAATTGATAATTATTTCAAAACATAAAAGTAATATAATCAAAATAATTTAAAATATCATATTTACTAAAACATAATTGCTTCTATTGTCTTTTATAACTAGAATCACATTTTGCTCTCTAATTTCATTAACAAACTTTTCAAGTAATTCAAATGGTGTTTCTTCATATTTCGTAAAAGATGATGCATTAATTGACTTAACAAACATTGTTCCCAGTGAATAATTGATTAAAAAATTAATTATTCTTCTTTGTCTCCTATAGGTCCATTTATCTAACATAATTGAACAATGATGTTTGGCCCATGCTTCCTTATGTCTCTTCATTAGTCTATTTGTGTAATCCAACTCATTTTTCAAATATGAAACTCTTAACTCATGGTAACTTGAAAGCTTTAACTTAGAACCATATCTTCCAATTGCTTCAATCAGATGCTTAAAACTGTCTAATCAGGCTTTATTGAAGGGAATACATAAAGGAAGCAAGCAATGTATTGATTTGTTCTAGCTCTTGCTTCCTTATTATTAGCATCATGTATACTTATTTGTCTTAACTTAGCTTCTGTTTGACTTTGCACTAATTATCTGGTTCTTGAAACATATATAAATCCATTGGTCCTTTCGTTTGTGGAATTTTTGGGTTAGCAACAATAATTTTGTTTCCTTTTTTACATGATGTTCTCTTACCACTGACATTTACCTTGTCCACAGAATCAGAATCTTGAGCTTGGTTGGATGGCTGTCGGATGGTTGTCGATGATTGTTGGATGATTGTTGCTGACTGTTGGATGAGAGGAGCTTGGTTGCATGGTTGTTTTGTTAGGTGGATGGGAAAGAGGGACGATAGGGGGCTGTGGTCTGAAAGCAGGGGCAGGGAGAGCTGCGACAATAGTGTGAAGAGGGATCAGGGAAAAGGGGGCTGCGACAAGGCGGGAGTTTGTGATGAACCGGTGTAGAGGTAGGAGGAGGAGAAAGAGAGAAATATTGGGAGGGGAAGAAGCTGTTGCCGTTGTTCACCTATGGATAGGAGGACGCAAAGCTCAGATCGGAGGATGCAAAGCTCATTGGAGGAAGACGCTGTTGTCGATTGAGATGAAGTTAGTCGTCGTGTATCGAGGAAACGCTAGGGAGAAAGAGCTATTCTACATTTAGGGCATAGGTTGAGTGGGGGGGTGGTTTGGGGTGTTTAAGCGTGAGACCATTTGCTTCAATTGAACCATAGATCAATCAGGTAGGCGCCTAGTGCTTGGGCCCAAGTGAGCACTTGAGCCGCGCTTGATTGAACTTGCCTGCCCAGCCCACTAATTGGGTGCTTGGGCCACATCTCGCCTAGGCACCTAGGCGAGCACCAGGTGACACCATTCAATAGTCTATTGCTAGTTTTGGTTATCATGAACATTTTTGAATAGACAAAATGAATTACTTTTAAATATTGAAGCCTTTGTATCTTATGCTTTATGGTATAGGAAGCTTATTATGTCAACAGAATGCATTTATGGTAGTTAAATGGAATACAAATCTGCAATGCTGACATGGCTCTTCTTATGATTTTCTTTCTTTTTGGTGAATTACTAGATTTCCACAAAACAGAGGGAGTACCAAATTGTATAATGACATTATTAAGTAATATAGCAACACCTTTCTATAATTTTTATTAATGTGAGATGTCATTAACCATTCATATATCTCTCACCTTGTTGTTGGTGCCAATTCTATGATAATGGAAGGATCTTGTAATGAAGTTTTGCAGATTGCCACAACAATGATTAAAATTGGAAAGCAGCTATCTAGAGGTCCAGTGGTTACAGGGGATGAGGAGCCCAAAATGGAAACCAGGACCCTGAAGGTAACTGGTTATGTAGCAAATTTACCCATCTAATATCTGTATGAAATGGTGAAGAGTTAGCTATCTATAATTCTGTTTTTTCAGTTTGGTGAATTGCAGGTTGAGTTGACTTCGAAAAAGGCCTTTATTGGTGCTGGAATTGGTTTAGTGTTTGGGTAAAGTTCACAACTTCATTGTTTACACAATATTAGTAACATTATCTTGAGACTCTTGTGATGCAAGTCCCACTGTTCAGCTATCCATCGGTAGCCTCCACCTATGCGGTGACCACATCTAACAGCTGTTTTGTGGGATTCATGATCACTTCATCAAGTGCAGTTATACTTTATTTCAATCAGCTCTATTGCTTTTAATTTTTGGATATTATTTTAGGATCCTCTCATGGCAAATAAGTCGGGGCATCGAAAACATACCAGAAAGCTCCTTAGAATATGCCAATGATAATGCATTGTTACTGGCAAAGGTGCTTGATATGCCAATTTTTCTGTTTTGTTTGTACTTGGACTTCCCTTCGTTTGATAATATGTATGAGACCTGATTCTGTTGAATTTGGTTTATGCATTCAGTCACTAAGGGGAGCTCTTCTTGCCTTATTCTATTCATCTGCGGCTTTATCAGTATTTACTTCAATAGGGCTTGTTTTGTTAGGAAGACAACTGAGCTCTGAAAGCAAATGACAGAAAATGTTGTTGCTTAGAGGTACGCAGTTAATTTCATATGATTCCACTACCAGAACCTTGTCTTTTTGGTACAACACAATCTTGAATGAAAAATTCATATCTTTGCTCTCTCTAGGTGTACATGTGTCGGTGCTTTACAATCCTTTTATGTACATATACATCTTTACATAAGTGTTGAAGACTGCTCTGCTCACATTTATTAGCATGATTTCCTTCATCACTTAGCATGATGTACTTTACCGAGGACCAAAATGTTAGGAACTAGGGATTTCAGAAAATTATCCTAAAACATATCTCCTACCATCGTCTATCATTTTTCTTGCTAATTAGCATTTATTTCAATCAGTAGAATTTTTCTAAATAGTATTAGTTTCTCTGTGTTATATCACAAGATTCTTTTGACTGGTTTTGAAGAGTAATAATTTTAAGTGACTTTGCTTTCATTTGCAGATGGTATTAGTCTCTCACCTCCAAGTGCATTCTCAGTGAACCAATATGTAGGAGTTGTTTGCAAACGCAGGTGGCGAATCAAACATGTCTAGGACTTTTATTGGGTTTATCAAACTACTGTGGAATTACTCAATGTAAGTGGCAAACATCTGATATGTTATTGGTCACTTCCTCTAGTAGACTATTATTTTCTTTAGTTTCTTAACTGAATTTTTTTTCATGGTAATGCCTTCCAATAATCATCTATTTTGATTCTTAGTCTATAATTGGCTCACTTTTTTTTTCCTTAATGATTCAGAAAAACAATTCAAGGGAACATTTTATAGGAAAAGTCAAATGTATTTAAATTACACAACTCAAATTGTTGGCTGTGATGGCCAAGAAGAGCCAACTCAACAGAACAATTTTTTCATCCAAGTTCATATACGGCAAACCATAATTCTCATTTTCTAGGGAATAAGCCATATAATCGCATCAGCTTCCCAAGTGGCATGGTCCACCAGCAGTTCTTGTATCCTTTCATTAGATAGCGGAGATCATCTTTAACTTTCCCCATTACCTATGAGTTTAGTACTTTTAACTTACCCATCATTGATTGGCCTTTGAAGCCTGCAATAACAAATTTCTTTTACTATCAGCGATCCTTGTGTTTCATGATGCCCTATTAAATTAATCTTCTGTTGTACATCATGTGTGTGCAAGTTTAAGTTTCCAGGAATTTCAGATATTGTTCGCTTTATGGAGGCAGTTATCACTACTCCGAGGAAGGAATGATTACGGAAGAGTATTAAAGTGTATTTATTCTTCGGAAGTAGTTTGGATCATTTTATGGGTGGTCAAATGAAATCCATAGCTTGTTGCTTACTTATTGATGTTGTTTATGCACAAGCTTTTTATGGCTTCTCTTTATATTTTTTTTCCAAAGTTCTTTTCTCCCTCTTAAGGTTGATGTTACCACCATTGTTTTTGATGCAAGAGTCGTTGAGATGCTTGTGTTTTAAAGTAGTTTAGTTCAATAGACCCACAATTTGGGGATGAATAAAATGGGTTTATTTTTTCAGTGTCATCACTGATAGGATTGATAATGTTGACTTGATGCTACATTTTGCCTGTATGTGGTGATGATAGAGCATCCATGATGATATGTGAACCACAGGCTGCCGTAATAGTTGTCGCAAAGGTGACATAGGATGAAGGCTCGAGTACAAATGCAAGATTGCTCGAGAATTGTAATAAAATCAAATCAAATCAGTGTGCAGGTAAGTGCCCAGGCTTCTTTTAGATGACCCACTATTGGAGGTAGATGTTTGAGGCTAACTGTTGGACAAGCATTGATCAATGTTTCAGTAATGTTGGAATGATATTGGTGACAGGCTACGAAGGATTGGTTATTCCTCTTAACGTGAATCTCAAATGTTTGTTTCTCTGAGTGATTTTTTTTCTTCTATATCTCAATATTTGTTTTCTCCAAATGGTCATGCATGTTGATTGTTTTTAACATAATTTTGTTAGGTCTTCCATGTTTGTATGCTAAGCGTTTTTATGTGTGTTTGTCCTATTTTGATACTAAATATCATGAACTTGCTTTAATCATATATTATTCTTGCGTATTCGTTCGTAAAAGTTAGTTTTTTCGAAAGTTCCTATGATCCCTTAAAACATATAAAAGATAAAATATGTTAGATAAAATGTTTCATTTGGGATTCACAAGTAATTATTTTAGTAGATATTTTATAACCACTGTCAAGTATAATCATAAACCTAGATAACCAACTCAATTTGATGTGAATAACTTATGCTAGGAGTTTTTGTCTTGCTCGAGGTTTCGGGAGTCTTTGGGATCACTGGAGGTGCTTCAAAACATCCATTACGCGAGTCTTCTTACATAAAATTCGTTAGAGAAATATTTCAAGTGTTGTAATATTTATAACTGAGGATGTTGGTTGATACAGCATAGTTGATCGGAATGTCACCTATTGATATTATAGCATGACGTATATTTCACATTTAGAGTGCTTGGTTAGGCCGATTAGTATGTCTCATGTATAAGTTTAGGTTGAAATCAAGTCAAAGTTTGGTTGCACTTTCATGGTATTCTTAATTTATTAGTTTGGGGAGGGAGATTAAGGTGAATGGAAAATAAGGTTCATCCAACCAGTTAGTCTTCTGATAATGATGTATCGGACTCAGCTTCCCTTCACTACTTACCACTTTAAAAAACAATTTTGAAATGCAACATTAAACAAAATGTGCAAACTTTTATTTCAAAACAATAATAACAATCCCTACCTTATAAACTACAAGAAATTCCAATGAATCCTCAGATGTAGAAATGGCGGTCCAAAGTTGATATATGGATCTTCGATTCATCGAAAACTTTCACAGGCCGATGGGGGAGCTTTTGAGGTAAAAAAAATTATATTTTGGATCCCAGCATGATGGTACTTCCACACCTACTACCATAGTTTATTCTAACATCACCAAGTAGATCTTCCCAGCTTTTTAATCCAGATACAATGCGCGTGAAACTAATTGCTGGCCATCTCATGTTCTCAATTCCAATTGACCCCCCTGTAACACAGTTTGCCAATAAAGTAGGGGAATGAACAATTAGAAGCTACATATAACAATTTAGCAGAATTCGGGTTGCTCTGTGTGCTTAGGAATGCCATGCATGCATTACCGAAATGTCAGGAAAAAAAAACAGAGATCCTGCTACTTACATCACCAACTCACAGAGAAATAAATATCACAAATATAATAGTGATTTGCTTTTAAATGTCGAGGTTTTCGTAAATCACTTGTCAGAGTTGTATGCATAACAAGTAGCTATAGTAACTAAAAATAATTTTCTAATAGCTATTTTGGAGGACAATCTTCAAACAGGGCTGCTCATCACTAGCTGACTTACAAACAGAAGTAAAGAAACATATTCATTTAGTATGAGAAGCATATCTTCATATGCATGGACCAAAAGAAATTTCATTTTGTATCTCTAATTAAGCACTGCTACAGATGATTATTTTACAAAACAAACTGTGCTTTCAGTTAATTTTTCGGAATCATGTGGCATGCCTCAAAATATTTTTCTTTTTGGCACGCAGCAAAATATTAGTGAACACCAACATCACAGAAAAGTAAAATTTAAGGTCATTGCATGGATCCTGCTGAAGGAGTCAGATTTGATTTACAGGGAAGAGTCTCACTAATAAACTCTGACCATCTCTTAAACTAAAAAAAAAAAAGAAAACAAAAATATCTACGAGCGCCATGGATCACCAAAGTGCCACAGACATAGAGATCTTGCTAATATCCAAGGATAAGATTTTCCTTTCTCTCATAAACTCAACTTTCAGCACTAAGGTAGCAATGGAGTTCTATCCTTATATGCCATTCACAAAGACAAAGTGAGCACCAACATGCATTCCCATGCAAACTGCAATCATTCATAAGTGATGAGAGGACTAGAAAACCAAATCAAATTACTTATTTCTTTCTGTGGAAGCTCAGTTGAATAAGATTTTGAGATTCATAAGCGTGATCTATACACAAATTAACCCTAAAGATCTGAAGTGTGAATGCTATAACAAAGGGTCACCAAAAGGTAACATGCATTGGCAACAGAATAAGATCGATGGAGGACAAGGAGTAGAAGTGTGTCCAAGTACTGATATCATAGAAACATTATTGGGTATCAATAGGAATTTAGTAAGTGTAAAGCTGCCAGAATATAATGTTCCTAGTAAAAACAAGAACTTGAATTGGACTTGAACAAGAGATCAGATGTAACCACACATAAAGGAACGACAAAAGAATAAGTTCAAACTACCAAAACTTGGATAAAATCATCAAGAATTGTGTGGAAGACAAAACATGCAGAAGTGTTCACAAAGGTCTGGATTTTCTCACATAGTAAATGGAGCATTTTATAGATGGTACGGTTACTTGAAATGCGGCTAAACTATGAAAAAAAACCATGCGTGGTAGTCTCGAGAGTGCAAAATTTCAAAAAGGAATGAAGAACCAAATTGGATAATATCAAAATTATAGAAACAACTAACTCATATCTGCCAACCACAAATGATAAATTATAGAAACAACTAACTCATATCTGCCAACCACAAATGATGTTTCAGATCAGACTTGGCACTAACTAAAAAACGTTCATGTCTCATGAAATGTCATTTCTGTAGATAATAGTATATGGGTTGTGATCAATATTGGTAGCCACCGTAGGCCTTTGTCTCCTGCCATTGTTTGGAAAAATGTCCATGGAGCTAGAATTAAGCATGTGTTTCAACCAAAACTATGAGGATAAAGAAATTAAAAATACAAAACATGCTAATACCAAGTTTTACCTTATTCTGCAGCTTTGCCACACTATTTTGAGGTTTCCTTTTGGCATATGAGCTATTCCAGTCCCCTCCATCTTGTGAATAATAATCCATTGGATAATCTGCTTGTAGATCATCACTCTTGCAATTGCAACCGGATGAATTAGGCCGACAACAACCAGAAGTTGAGCAAGTCTCCTCTTTCCTAGCGACTGGCTCACCATCAAAATTATCTGATACTCTCATCCTTTCCTTCTCCCACCAACCTGGAACATATCCCAGCGCAATGTCTAACTCAAATGTTGTCAGCATTGGCTTGGTGAATCCCTCCCCCCAGTCGATCGAAAGCCTAGGACATGCAATTTGCACCCAAGCATCCACGGAGTCCCCAAATAGAGCAATCCTCGCAGGTGAAATCTCCGACATGAGTACCACGGTCCACTCCAGTGCCTTCTCCTCCATGTGCTCCACCACTCTGTCCAAGACTCGGGAGTTGCCCTGCCTCCCGAGCGTCCCAAGTATGACACCCCACCGTTTGGCTTCCCGGGCTGCCAAGATTGCGTCTTTCCTTGCCGTCTTCATGCCCTTATGGTCGTACTCCTCAAGAACGAGGATCCCAAGATATGGGTCGTAGCGGAATGCCGGGACTCCAGGATTTGCAATCATGAACGCCTCAAGGTGGAACCGGCCGTCGGCCACAAACACGATGGCCTCAATCCCCTTGGATCTGGGGATTGTGGGGGCTGTGCACCCCAGAACCTCACCAGCAGAGAGCGGCTTGGCCTGCGGAACCGTGATATCAAAGCCCTCGGCTGAAAGGAGGGATTTTGCGGCTTGCACGGCGGAGACAAACTGGATGGTGCCAGCAAGGGCGAGTTTGGAGGAAGCGGGGAAAGTGGAGAGGACAGCGTCGACAAGCCGATCGACGTCGACGCGAATGCTAACAAAGACGTAGAGGACGGGGAGGCGAGAGGAGGGAACGGGGACGAGGCAGGAGTGGCCGTAGTGGATGAGCTGGTCGGCGGCGAGGGCGGAGGCGGCGTAATCGTCAAGGCAACAGGCTCCGTATGTGGGGTCAGCGAGGATGAGGACGTCGTCGAGGCGGAGAGTGGAGGCGGAAAGGAGGATGTCGGCAAGGGGAAGAGCGTACATGAGGAGGCCATCGGGGAGCTGGAGAGCGGGGCGGCGCGAGGCGGCGGATGCGAGGCGGTGGACGGTCTTGTGGACCTCGAAGTCGTAGTTGGAGGGGAGGATGGCAGCAGCGGAGTTGATGGCGGGATCGGAGAGGATCGACTCCGGTATCTGCGACTTCACGAAGCGCTTCGGAGCGGCAGCGGCCTTTTTCCGCTTCGAGGCGTCGACAGAGCCATTAGGGTTGGAGTTAGGGTTCGAAAGGTTGGAGAGGGAAAGAGAAGGAAGAGCGGCGGCGGCGGATGAGGACACGGCGTCGGCTTCCATACCCAGGCCGCCAGTGACGAAGGGTTGCAGCGACGGACCAGGGGATCGACTTGGGGCGTGTTGGGAACAAGTAAGCGTGAGGGTTAGGCGTGGGATCCACTCCGGCCTGTAGAATAACCACACGGACACGAACATCAAAGCACCGGGAAAGTGGATCAGACGGTGGCAGCAGCGTTATCATCGAATTGTAAATAACAATAAGTGAATTGATTTCATACTCATACGTGCGGATCACACAGGTAGGAGTACCAATCAAATTCACGTTTTGGTCGGTATAAAACGTGTTGTTACGCGTAGCCATCCAAGTTTTGAGAAATTTTAACAGGGAATTTCATATTTAAAAATTTTTCGTAAAACACATTTTATAGAAAATCCTAAAATTTCAAAATAGCAAAAGAATCCGCCAACGTGTTTTCTCTTTTTTTTCTTCCTCAAAAACAATTATTTTTCTCTCCTTAAAAGTTAAGTTACTATTTTTTTCTATCCACCTTTTTAATAAACTAACACATATAACTAAATTGGTTCAATTAATTAATCTAAGACGTGAACAGGTTCAAAATATTTACTAATATATATCGATTAATATTTTTTTTAAATAATAAATTTAAAACTAATTTACGTAACTATAAAGTTAAAAGTAATATACTAATAATATTTATCTGTTTTAAAAAAATAATATTTAAAAATATTTAAGAAAATAAAAAATAAATTTGAAAGGCCTGATCATTATTTTTTATTTTTATTTTTTTTAAATAGTTTAATTACTAATTTTAACCCTTAAAAAGTTAAATTTATACAAAAATCAGAAAATATATATCATCCTAATATCAAAAATAAATTATATTAAATAAATTACTGATATATCATTTTTATTATTAAAATAATAAATAAATATAAAAATATAGAAAATTGTAAAAATAATAAAAATTATAATTATAATTAATACATTTAAAATTAACTATAAAGTAAATAATAATATAATTATAACCTTCCTTTATATGCTTAATAACTTGCTTATATTGTTCTCTTGGTATCACATCTACCATGCTTTTTGTTGATGACAAAGGGGGAGAAATATATGAATTGATTTGATGCTACAAACACTGATGCTATGATTATGCCATGCCTGCATCATCAAGAGATATATGAAAAGATGCCATGCAACACTTGCTAAAATATAAGAAATGTGTGCATCATGTAATGATATCAAAATCTTACTTCGCAGCTTTACATGTTGATATCTTACAAAGACATGAATTGCTACTATTACCATCATTCAAACTTGTAATGTAAAATTTGAAAATGAATGTCAATCCTTGACATCATCTTCAAAGAGATACATCATGATAGGAATCATGATGGGAATATTGATAAGTTTAAATGATTTTAACTTATCAATATGTCTCTTGAATTTATAAGGTTTTAAATTCAAGAATGACTTATCTCAAGTATGGCATATAGACAGGGGGAGTTAAGGTTAACTCCATTATCAATTGATTGTCATCATCAAAAAGGGGGAGATTGTTGAATCTCGGATTTTGATGATGAAGTCAATTGTCATTTGTTGTCTAATCTATGTGTTGAGATAAGTATGCAGGATTAACTACGATGAAAGTAAGACATGCAGCAGGAGTTGCGCCGGAGTCATGACAATGATCACGTTGGGAGTTCGAGAGCTCGACGGAAGTTCGGACAGTCGTCGGAGGTTCTACGGGAACAAATCCGAGAAGTCCAGAAGCTTGCCAAAGAAGCTCGTCGGAACTTGCCAAGTGGATCGTTGCAAGTCCAGGAGTTTGCCAGAAGTCCGCAGGAGTATCACCGAGGGTTCATCGGATGATCGACGGAAGTTCACTGGAAACTCGCCGGAAGAAGCGATTGACGCATCGGAGCAAGCTGCAAAAATTGTCTTACGATTTATTGTAGTTAGCACTAATGATTAAGTTGAAAATGGGAGGTGATCCCATTAGCTTAATCTTGGGGCAATTGGGCCCCTGAAAAACCCAAATTGGGCCGAATGGATCAACCCATTCGGACCCTGGTTGCTGTGGGAGGTGCAACCGCCCAAGCCAGGAGGTAGCACCGCCTGGGCTAAGTCTCCCAGGGAGACTGGGCAGTGCAACCGCCCCAGCCAGGAGGTGCAACCACCTGGGCTCAGTCTCCGAGCGAGACTGGGCGGTGCAACCTCTCCTGACAAGAGGTGGCATCGCCTGAGCTCAAGTTTCGAGCTCTGCCAGGCGGTGCAACCGCCCCAGTCAGGAGGTGCAACCGCCTGAGCTCGGTCTTTGAGCTCTAGCAGAGAGGTGCAATTGCCCCTGACAGAGGTGGCATCGCCCAGAGGCTCAGTCTTCGAGCTCTGCCAGGCGGTGCAACCGCCCCAGTCAGGAGGTGCAACCGCCTGATCCCGGAATTCCGGGAATTGACAGTTTTGAGCTCCAAAATTGAACTGGGTTGGGCCTATAAATACCCCACCCATTCAGCACTGAAAGGGAGAACTAACACTCGAAATCTTGATATCTTTATGTGATTTTTAGACCTCAAAACTGTTGTAAAGACCAAAAGTTCTCCTCCTTCTGTTCTTCAAAGTTTGAGTTGTAAAGAGAGGAGAGAAAACTTCTGTAAAGGTTGTCTCCTAAGCTCGTCAAAAGGAGTGAATCTGTAAAAGGGTGGTTGGCCTTCGCCTATTGAAGGAAGGCCTCTAGTTGACGTCGGTGACCTCGTCGGTGGAGGAAGCCAAAAGTGGAGTAGGTCAAGATTGACCAAACCACTCTAAATCTCGGTTTGCATTTCCTTTGAGCATTTTACCTTCACTGCAAACTTCTCAATAGCTTACTGCCTTCTGCGATTTTACGAACGAGTTTCTAAGTTCATAACTTTCCGAATCTGCGTTTAGACGTAAATCGGCTTTTCTCATACGATCATCATATTTCAGTTTACGTTTACGTTTTGATTTCAATCATAACTGTTTACTGCCTTCTGCGATCTTACGAATAAGTTTCTAAGTTCAGAACTTTCTAAATCTGCGTTTAGACGTAAATCGGCTTTTATCGTACGAACATTGCATTTCAGTTTGCGCTTGTATTCTGCTTTCCATCATAAACTGCAAACTGCCTTCGTAGATCTACTTTAACGTCATCTTGCTTAATCTCAAGTTAAAGTAATCTTAGAATCGGCTTTCACATCGAAATCGTTTTTATCGAACGAACGCAGTTTTCGTTTTAATCGCTGAAAAATTTCCGCTGCACTAATTCACCCCCCCCTCTTAGTGCTCTTGATCCTAACATTTACAACACTTTTGAGCTCTAAAAGTCACAGAGTAAGATTAGATTTTTGGTACCCTTTCATGCAGGAAAGGGTGGGGTATATATAGGCCATAAACTGGTTTGAATTTGGAGCTAAAAAATATCATCTTCTAGATTTTCGGGGTCCTGGCGGTACTACCGCCAGACTGGGCGGTAGGACCGCTTGACAGAGCTCGGAGACCGAGCTTTGGCGGTGCCACCGCTTGACTAGGGCGGTTCCACCGCCCAGTCTTGCTCGGAGACTGAGCCCAAGCGGTGCCATCGCTTGACTGGGGCGGTTCCACCGCCCAGCTTTCCTGGGAGACTGAGCTCCTAGGCGATGCCACCGCTGGCCAGGAAATCTGGGTCCGAATGGGCTGATCCATTCGGCCCAATTTGGGTCTGTCAAGGGCCCAATTTCCCCCAGATTAAGTTAATGGGATCACCTCCCATTCCTAGCTTAATCTACATACTAACTACGATATTTCTTAAGACATTTACTGCAACTTGCTCCGATGCGTCAATCGCTTCTTCCGACGAGCTTCCGGCGAACATCCGACGAACCCTCGGTGATGCTCCGGCGGACTTCCGGCAAACTCCTGCGACGATCCACTTGCCGAGTTTCGACGAGCTTCTTTGGCAAGCTCCTGGACTTCTCGGATTTGTTCCTACAGAACCTCCGATAACCGTCCGGACTTCCGTCGAACTCTCGAACCCCCAACGTGATTATGGTCTTGACTCTGGCGTAACTCCGGCTGTGTGTCTTACTTCCATCGTAGTTAATCCTGCACATGTAAAATAAACTTCGATCTAGACAATTAATACTAAGCATTAATCAAGTTGTCCAACATGTTATTGGTCCCTCGACGCTTCGTCCGATTCTTCGGCGCATTGTCCTCTCCTACGGCCTATTGCCAAATCGGCTAGTTGACTCCGCAACTCTGATATCCTTGGCACAATACTCGTTCTTCTTGGCCCGATGCCCAAGTCCACGACCCAAAGCCTTCTGTCGATACGTCAACCGATCCACCGATCCGACGTCCAATCTTCTGACATGTTCCTCCGGCCCAACATGATTTTCCTGCTTTAATTGTCTCATCCTGATCGAAGTATCCTGCGTCACTCAAAACACAGATTAAATCATAAACATATATCAAGTGGTTTCATCATCAAAATATGAGATTCAACAATCTCCCCCTTTTTGATGATGACAACCACTTGATGACGGAGTTAACCTTAACTTTCGAAGTTTAAACAAACTCCTCCTATCAATATGCCATATTGAAAGAAACTCTTGGATTCAAAAATCCAAGCAACATGTCATCATAAACTTATGCATAACATGTCATATTATCAACATACTTCTCTCCCTTTGTCATCAACAAAAAGGAGAAGTACCACAATCAAGTGTTTGTTATATAAGTTCAACTCATTGCATGAAAAACATAATATCCATTTTTACCATCATGCAAGTTTGCTATCATCAAATGGTAAGATATCAACATGTAAAATTGTGATGTAAGCTTTTGATATCGTAACGCAAACATTTCAAGTGTTTATCAATTGTAGCATTTCATCACATGGCAAGATATCGATAAGTAAAATTATGATACAAGTTCTTGATATCTTAACATGATACAAACATGGCATAATCATAGCATCAATTTACCATATATTTTGATGCAAGCTTCTTTTGATATCTTAACATAATATGGCACTTATAGCATCAATTCATATATTTCTCCCCCTTTGTCATCAACAAAAAGGAGAACGAT